TGTGTGTGTGTGTGTGTGTGTGTGTGAGAGAGAGAGAGAGAGAGAGAGAGAGAGAAACAAAAATACTTGGGGGGGAGAAATAATAAAGTGTAGTGATTTGTTGTTTGTTAGCTGCTTTTGACTTGATCTCAACTCATGGCTACCCTGTGAATGAGACATCTCCAAGCCTCCCTGTCCTCTACTTCTCTGCTCAGGTCCTGCAGGCTCAGGCCCATGGTCTCCCTGGTTGAGTCTATCCATCTGACATGTAGTCTTCCTCTCTTTCTACATCCCTCCACTTTTCCTAGCATTATTGTTTTTTCCAGTGAGTCATTCCTTCTCATGACGTGACGAAAGTACAACAACCTCAACTTTATCATCTTGGGTTCCAGGGAGAGTATGGGCTTAATCTGTTCTAGGACCCATTTGTTTGTCTTTTTGGCTGTCCATGGTATCCTCAGCACTCTTCTCCAGCACCACTTCTCAAATGAATTATTTTCTTCCTATCTGCTTTCTTCACTGTCCAACTTTAAATACCCAGAGATAGACAGTAAAGTGGGCATTCCTCCCCTTTTATCTCCTCCACAATATCTCTAACAGGCTGTTAATACAGTTCAGAAAGCCTTGTGGCATCATAGTCACGGAGCAGTATTTGGACCCACAGAATCACTTTCATACCAAGGCCCCAAATTCCTCCTTTGACTGTCTGCTCTCTTGTTTCCTTAAGAAGGGGCAAGCAACTTTGGCCGGCCAGCAACCATTTTGGTGGCCTGTGACCTGCTCTGTGGATTGCCAAAAATGATCCCCAAAAGAAAACTGGAAATAGCTAGAAGTCCACTTTTGTTTTAAAAAAGAAAACAGGGTTTTAAAATGTTAAACCAACATGAGCAGTTGAGCCGGGGGAGGAGACAATATTCTTAAAACTCTCTCTCTCTCTCTCTCTCTCTCTCTCTTTTTTTTTTTTTTCTCTTTCTCTCGTACACATGTTTTCAGTAATCAAAGTGTCCACTTTTATTTTTCAGCCCCCTTTTTCTGAGGGTTTTAAGGAAAGGTTGTGGAAATGAGGGAAGCTAAATGGGGCATAGGTTTGTTTTTGGCATATTTCTGAGCAAAAAATAAATAAATCAACCAACGTTTGTGGGGATTTGACATGTCCAGAGAGGGACTGGAGACCATACAAATCAGGCTGTGGGGACTTCATGCAACCTACAAAACAGCATTCCTCCCACTGCCCTTAAACAGTGCAACCTGGAGGCTTGTAGGTATGCCAATTCACCCTTGCTTGGGCCAGAAAAAAAACATAGTGTTAGTGGATAGTAGAGGCAGCACAAACAATCTTGGGGAGTCTTCATAAAATCCTGGGATGGCATGTTGCTTGTATTGCAACCACTTACTCGAAAAGCACAAGGTTTTGAGTTTAATAACAGCCAGGTGCTCAAGGTTGACTCAGCCTTGCATCTTTCCGAAGTTGCTGAAATGAGTACCCAGATTGTTGGGGGCAATTGGCTTACACATTGTAAACCACTTAGGGAGTGCTTAAGTGTATTGATAAGCAGTATAGAAATGTACTTGCTATTGCTATTGCCTTCAGAACATAAAGACATGAGAAATGTCTTGCTTTCTCAAGCCTGTCTATTCTAGTACTATATATCCATCAGCAGCTGGAGGCTGACAAGAAAATTATAGCCATTCCAGGATCTGGTACTCAGAGGTAGACTATGTCTGTTCATGGGGGTTCTATAACAGGTCAGGTGTCTTGATAGGTATCTGTGGAAAATGTTACCTTTAAAGCATTTAAAGAACCAGCCGAACTACTGGCTACCACCTTGCTTTGGTAGCAAAGAACTCCTGGAGTACATGGCTTTAACTGTTTTAACATGTATTAAAATAGTTACATAGTTTAATAATTTTTTAGACAACAGATTGTCTTTTACTGTTTTAATATTTTTGAATTGATTTTGATAAGTAGTAAACTTGAGAGGGAATAGTAATACAATCTTCAGATACTCTGGAGTACAAAAGGAAAATATTTTCCTAATTAGCAGGATCAGTTGAGAGAATGCAGATGGTGTACATCCCATAGCCATTTGGTAAGTTAGTCCTCTGTATTGTCCCGCCACACAATAAAGCAGACTTTGCTGCTTCTTTCCTTCCCCAGATACCTAATAAGATAAGGAGATAATATTAACATTCACCCAGACGCAAACCCTGCCCTCTACCTGTACCCTTGTCATAACTCACCCCCTGGAGTTGGAGGATTCAGATGAAGAATCTGCAGCTCCTGATAAGGAGGGTCTTTCTGAGTCCATAGAGTCAGGGATTGAGACAGAGGGGACCCTATTTCGCAGCAGGAGGTTGCAGCCACTGAAGGCCCCTTGCCATCAGTCATGCAACCACAAAGAGCATCAATTCCCTGCGTTTGTTAAGTAGTAGATGCTGACTTAATTAGGCACTTGGTATTTTGGAGACAGCTGCCCATAAATCTCCCAGCAGCTTCCCACCATCTCTGTTTCTCGCAACCATCTTATCTGGGTGACTGATAGTACTGTGGCATTCCTGTTTTCTTGACCTTGGACTGGGTATGCTTTGTTTATCTGGACTACTGACTTGCTGAATTTCTTGAACTGGTTGAGGACCACCCTTTTGCATCTCCCATCATCGTGCTGGATATTCTGTGACTGATCTGGACTGAATTGACACCTCAGTAGCTCTTGCTTTCTAAACACCTGATTCCTGGGACACTTGAGCGTAGGAGAACCCTGGCTCGAATGCTAAAGGCTTGAATATAGAGATGTTTGCTCTCTGATGTATGTTTTTAAAAAGTAAGCTTTTCAGACAAAGAACTCACTTTTTCTCCCTCTCCATTGACCACCTTTTGAAATGATAGGCATTCATTTTGAGTTGCCGTAAACAAACATAACTTTGTAAAATAAGAAATGTTCTTTTAGTGAGGTGCAAATAGTGTGAAGTCTAAATCCGTGATGCTTGTGTTGTTCACTTGAACCATGGACCAGGAGTAACACTTTGAGATAAAAGGTTACCCCATAAAATAAAACATTATGAAGTCCTACCATAGTTCCACTAAGCTAATGGGACTCCTCTTTTGAATGGGAGACTTAGAAGGCTGTCCGCATTCAAGAACCAAATATTTACAATGGCTGGATATAGATAGGACAGAACAGGGCAAGAGCATGTTCTAAGCCCAGAATCTTAGGAAAGAAAATGTTTAAAATAATACAAGAAAAACTGTTTGCAGAAAAGCAGTAGCAGAGGCCACTAAAGGAAGACAAACCATTGCTTGGAATGTTTCTATTCAAATAGGTTATAGGCTGTTTATTGACTGTGTGGGTCATTGGTGAAAGGTCAGCAGCTCTGCTGTGTCGGCAGATAAAGACAGAGGGAAGCATGTTTGAGGTCACATTGCAAAGGAATTCAGTCATGCTAAAGGAGGAACATTTTAAGTCTTTATTTACTCAGAATGGGAGGGGGACAAGGCATCCGCACATTAACAACCATTCACTATATTAGATTAAAAAACTCCCTTATTGCTAATATTTTCAGTATGTCTCCCCCATTTGTCCCCATCCCCCCACTTTAATAAGATCTTTCTTTCTTTCTTTCTTTCTTTCTTTCTTTCTTTCTTTCTTTCTTTCTTTCTTTCTTTTGTGCATTTAAGCATTTATTAGCCCAAAGCTGTATTTTTTTTTTGTGTATGTCTACCTTTCTGTTTCTGGCAAAAGCTACATTTAAGTGCAGACAGAGCAATTGATTGTGAATTATTAAGCCTTGGACACCAATCTGACCTACCCACTTTGTTAGCATTTTTCTTTCTTTCCTAATATACTCCTTTGAGAAACTCTGCACTTTATGAAGATACACCCAAAGTTCTTATTTACTGTAAATAATTGGTGTTTAACCTAGATGAAATAGAACAGTAATTACTTAATGCTCTTTCTCCTGGGTTCTCATTCTATGTTTGGGCTTGACAGGGGAAAGTATCTTTCTTCCAAAGACATTCAAATCAAGTGCTAAAACCTCTCTGACTTGGCAGTGCTATAAGTTAATACCAACTTAGTGACCTGAACTGGAAGCTAATTTGGCGGTTTGATGGATTACCATGAGACAACCCCAAATGCAATGCATGAGGGGCAGGCAGAATTTGTCTTTAAAGTAGAGAAAGATCTAGTCTGTTGGTCTGAGAGGGGTGTGTTCCATTTTGTAGATTGTTCATTTTAAAATATATTTAACCCAAAAATATATTTAACCCAAGCCCTCTGCAGGTTACTTTGTATGCTGGCAAAGTTGGAAGAGGGAGAAATTCAGTTAAGCCATTCCTGTTGTAGTCTTTACTGTTTAAACAGGGAATAAAGTTTTATTTTCAAGAGAGTTGCTGTCAGTGTGAGTGAATGAAAGATTGTAAAGAATCCTTTTGTCACAACACATTCCTCAATTTTGACAGCAGTGGTGGAGTCGCCTTCTGAGTAGAACTAAATTGTTTTAAGTACTTGAAATACAGCATACATTTTTTCTTCTTCTTTGGGGTCTCAGGGTAGCTGCACCCCTGAGGTTCTGCATTTACACAGAGCACCAACCTTGAAGAGTTGAAGCCTACGCGGGACCTGTGCCTTGAATGTTATGTTCATGCTTCCAAGGGTAGAGAGACTCAAATCATGCAGAATTTTCTCATGGATTTCTCCAAGTGAACTAAACCTGCCTTTCTCTTTACTATGCTTTTTGTTTTCTATCATAAGGTTTTCTTGGCAAGATTTGTTGCCTTTGCCTTCCTCAGAGACTGAGAGAGTGTGACATGCCCATGGTCACCCAGTGGATTTCCATCGCTAAGTGGGGATTGGAACCCTTGTCTCAACTTGTAGTTGAATCCTTAAACCACTATACCACACTTGCTCTCATGAGATTGTGTGGTAAGAATCACAAACTACCTATGCCATGTTTTAGTTAGGCATGTCAGATCTGCCATACAGATTAGCAGCCTGTTCTGAATCAGAAATAAAGCCTGAGGCTGCAGAAAGCAGAGATTTGAACCCTAGTCTCCAGAGTTATAATCTAGCACTCAAACCACTAGACCACACTGGCTCTCTTTAAAGTTCAGATCCCCTAAAATTGGGATATTGGTGCTCATTAGGCACACTATTATTACTTTTAGAGGTGCTGCAAAATGTTGGCTCAGATCTGGAACAAACTGAAAAATGTTGAAATTTTGGTGTTAACTTGGAACTTGAGGTCTCTGTTACTTTTGGGGGTGATAGCTACAAAATGCTTGCAAAACCCTGGCATGAGCCTGGAGTGAATTGGATAATGTTGGATGGGGAGGGATTTACTGTAAATCCTGAGTTGAGGCATCTGTATCCAGGAGTGGAATAACTTTGGGGTTTTTCTCTCATAATCTCTTGTTATTGATATTAGTCAGGGCTAATGGAAACAGAGTTCAACAATTGGTGGAGGGCCACAGGCACGGATCAGAGGGTATTATGAAGAACTGCCTGTTGTTGATGGCCATGACTTTTGTCACCTCTGCCTCAAAGAACAGTGTGAGGTGCACATGTGCTTGTATTCAGAAATTTTCAGAGCGAGTTAACCGCAATGAGTTCAAGTGCCTTCCAGGCACTTCTGGTTGGCTGGAAAAACATCATTTTAAACATCAAATTAAAGCTAAGATGAGTCTTTGTTATTGTCAGCTGCTGTCAAGTCAACCTCAGCTTGTGGCATCCCTATGAATGAGACATCTCCAAGTCCACCTGTCTTCATTAGTCCTTTTCAGATCTTGCAAATTCAGGGTCGTGGCTTCCTTGATTGAGTCCATCCATCTGTAATGCAGTCTTCCCTTTTTCCTGCTGCCTTCTCCCTTACCAAGCATTATTGTCTTTTCCAGTGAGTCATGTCTTCTCATGATATGTCCAAAGTATGACAGTCTCAGGGCCTTTGCAGACCGCTAGAAATAGTACAAATTGAGGCCACTTTAACTGCCCTGGCTCAATGCTAGGGAATCATGGGAATTGTATTTTTTTCTGAGACATTGAGCCTTCTCTGTCAGAGAGCTCTAGTGCCACAATAAACTACAGTTCCCATGATTCCCTAACACTGGGTCAGGGCAGTTAAAGTGGACTCAATTTGCACTATTTCTGGCAGTCTGCAAAGGCCCTATGTTGGCTTCTAGGGAAAGTTCAGGCTTGCTTTGCTCTAGGTCCCATTTATTCATCTCTTTAGCAGTCCATGGTATCCACTCACCACATTTCAAATGAGATTATTTTCTTCCTATCAGCATTCTTCACTGTCTAGTTTTACTATCTATTATGCTTTTAGATTCCCATTTTTCTTGCAATATAATGCTGTTCCCTTGCCAGTATGTGCTCCACTGTGGTCCTTTTTACATAATTCCTCTTACTGGGCAGTGGGAACATTTTGCTATCTGCATATGGCATCTTTTTAAATGAACTGTATGCGGTTAAAAAAAAAAAAGAGTCATAACCCCAAATGTAAAGCTGTTTTTTGGTGCCCTTCTTCTTCTCCACCATTACATTGAAAGGGCATTGAAAAGGAAATTTTAAAAGTAGCTACAACCAGCCATTTGGGTGGTGCTTGCAATAACAGACCAGGAAAATAGAAAGTGGTACCAGGTCAGGCATCCATGATATGCAGGCCAGTCAGGCTGCCCAGGGATGCCAGGTGCTAAAACTGGTCCATGTAGAACACAATAGTAGTTATTTTAGTTTGTAGGTTGCCATCTCCAAATAATGAAAGCATAGTGGGTTGAGTGTTGAGTATTTGCCTATCTTTTTAATGGGCTCCATTTACTGATCATGACCTCAGTGTCAATGTCTCAGTTCAGTGTCTCCGCCTGTTTAAGCTAATGGGTTGGATGTACAGGAAAATGGGCCTGATTGAGAAATGATTTACTCTTCTGTGCATCCCCCACCTCCACCAAAATGGTACTTCCTCTACATTTTGAATGTGACAGGAAACAGGCCTCCAGAGTTAGATCGCCCAGCCTGAACTTCCTATTCATTGTTCTAGACTGCTAAAGATCAGTATATAATTTAGCCACCTTGAAACCCAGTGAAACGGTGTATATATAATGTCATTGTTTGAGAGTTTGATGAAGGAATTGGGATTTGGAAAGAAATTATTGGAGCAAAGTCCACCCCACAATAATGAAATGGAGAATTGAGTCATATGTCTAAAGAAACATCACCCATATGTTCATAATGGATGATGGATATTTTAAGTGTTCCTCCATGGGAAACAAAGTCACCATATCCTAAAAATGACTTGGATACTATGTTACTGTGTAGCCTGAGCACATGGAATCTCTTTCACATGATCATTGTAATGATATTGTAATGTCATTGTAATGTCATCACATTGTAATGATGAAGAGAAAGAGTTGTCTTGGTATCTTTATTTAGAAAGAAAAATAGGGGTGGGGAGTGGGGTGGTTGTATAATTGGGCCATGAAATAGGGAATTGGAATACACACAAAGCAAATAACCTGCAAAACAGATCCATACCTTCTGCTTTAAATACAGGATTTTCTGACAATAATTTCCTGATTCTCTGTTTCTAACTAGGGGTGCATTTAATGCTGTAGAAATAATGCATTTTGACTCCACTTTAACTGCTGTGGCTGCATCCTACAGAATCCTGAGATTTGTCGTTTTGTCAGGCACCAGCACTCATTGGCAGAGAAGGTTAACAACCTTGTAAAACTACAAATCCCAGGATTCCATAAGACAGAGCTACAGCACTTAAAGCGATGTCAAACTGCATAATTTCTACAGTGTGGTTGCATCCTAGGACTTAAACTGAACCATAATGCAGGTCTGGAACAAACCTCTTTTCAGTTGATCCTTTGGAAAACATGGTGATATAAAGAGGACATCTGTAACATATACAGAGTGCCTTTTGAAGAACAGCTGGAAATTGCCAATTAGCTGGAAATGGGGGAGGCAGTTTCAGTGTTGGACTTTCAAGCAGATGATTGCACTTGTTACGCGATAAATGAAGCGTCATCTTTTTCAGTGAAGCAAGTGTGTGCATATGTGTGCATGAGAGGGATTCCTTTAAGAGCTCTAAATGAAGAATGAGAAATGAAAGCTACAAAAAAAAAATTGTGAAGAAAATCCTGCAGCACTTGCCACCCCAAATAGATGAAAATAGAGCCATTGTATTGGCAGCAGCTCCTATCTTACTCTCTTATGCCACAAAGGAGTGGCTTGCTTGACTCCAGAATTAATAGAGCAGAGAGGAAACGGCTCTTAAAGAGATGTGTGCCGGTTTCCTTCCTGTTCAGAGAATTGGAAAGCCTAAGGCAGTGAGGTAATGTCATTTCACATAACTTAGAGGGCTCTTCTTATAAAGGACAGTTGCAGTAAATGAAGTGAGCCTGGGTTTTTTCTTCTTCTTTTTCTTCTGAAGGTGTTTTCTAAAAATTCTGTTCCTGTTAGTAGCATGGCTGGAGAACTGAGACAGATCTGTTATTGAAATAATCTTCCAAATAATAACAACATTCAGTGAAGATTATATATAACAGGGATGAGGGAAAATCTGAAGTCCCCAAAGTGTATGTTGGTGCATAAGGAGAAATTTCACACATGCCACCAATCTGGAGTTGGCCTCCATTCAGTCTAAACTGCCTGTTTTTCCATAGGTTCCCCCCCCCCCCCAGTTCTGCTATGGAACAACTGATAATCTTAAGAATTGGGGATGTGTGAGTGTTTCCCTGCTGAAAACATGTTGGACTGAATGGGATCGGTTTAAGAAGGCATTCACTGAAACTGGTATGGTACAACATCACCTTCCAAAACTCAAAATCGGGCATTGCTGTGCATATTTTACTGGTGTTTTTCTGCTGTTTGATCTGTGTTGGTTCAGAAGTCCACCCAATTTGAAGTAGTGAGGTTTCTTTCCTTAGTACCCGGCATTCAAACAATACTGAGAAGAAAGGTGAATGTAACTAAAGCATGTGGCTTGCTTTCATTGGAATTATAATGCCTTTTGCCAGCCCTGTTGAACACTCAGCCACTTGGTCTGAGACTGATCATAATGTTGTAGCTGTTAACCCAGGCTCTGACCTCACATTCTGTTCAAAGACATGTGCTGGAAAGCTCGTAACTGTTGAACAATATATCCAGGGTCATACATACTCAGAAATCATAGGTGGATGTCAGATAATCATTCAGTCATACTTTGCAAGGCAGAAATTGATGCTGAATGCATAACTCAGCTTCTCACTAGGGATAAATAAATAAATTTTCCCCTCTGGGTCTGGTGCTGAGGTTGTGAGTGCTTTTGGTTACGGAGCTAAAGTGGCACTACACACACAGAAATGAGAGGTAAAAGTAGGCTTGGGGGGAATCCCAAGATTTGTAGAAGTGTACAAAGTTCTTTAGGTGAAAGCTAAGGGGTTGACCCCCTCCCCACAGCCCAAGAAGAACTGGATGTTATCAATGGCCAGAGAATACAGGTTCTGAAAGGTGTTTTCAGAAGGAAAGGTGTTCTTATGTCTTCCCCTAACCAACTAGGGTTCATCTCAAGGTTAAACTCTACTTGAACTGGTGGGGGGGAATTCACCAGCATTTGTGTGTGGATTTACTGTTCTTTGCCAGGATGTTATCACTTCCCAACAACAGTCATCCTCCATGTCTGTGGGTTAAGCATTTGCAGATTTGATTATCTGCAGATTATTGTATTTGCTCCTGCTATGGAGCTCTATAAATCTGTAGGTCCTCCAGTGCAATTCTATGGCTAGCATCTGCCAAAAGTTAACCATAGAGTTCCACTGGAGGACCTACAGATTCCTAAAGAGATGACTTCTGCAGACATTGGTAGGTCCTCAAACATGACTTTATGGAAGTTGACCATAGAGTCATGCTGAAGGACCTACAGATGCCTAGAAAATTGTTCTCTCGGGAGTTTTTAAAGGCCTATATTCATGGTTTTTCCACTTTCACTGGGAGGCTGCACCGCATCCCCCATGAAAGTTGAAGGCTAACAACCATATTTAAGATAATCACTTGATGTATACTTGTGTGTATTTGTATTCACCCCGCCCCATCCCAGCATATATGCAGTATCTG